GCCGTGCACCTAGCTGCCTTGTGGCACAGGTCCCAGCAGAACGGGTGTGCGGAGTGCCTTACCCGAGACCACGGGTGTCCACGCGAAGCCCTGGCTGTGGGTGGGAGCCCACCTCTGGGTCTGAGAGATGCTCTGAGTGGTCTTGGGAATCGAACAGACAAATTTGGTACCCCTACTCCGCCCCAACTCTCCCCACTCACCGATCTCCTTGGAGCTCCGGGCATGAGCTACCTAACAGGCGGCCGTCTTTCCCCGTCCCTCCCTGGCACTATTTTTTAATGCATCATCTCGATTTATCCCTAGGGAGTCTTTGGTAGGTACTATTCTCTATTGCACTGCGCACATCCTCTGCACAAGTCCCCTGTAGGGTGTTGACAAGAAAAGGACTTTAGTGTGATATCTGAGATACGAGTCACGACATTTTCAGTTGTCTCATATGCATGTGAAAGTTGGGCATGGAATCAGGAAGACTGAAGGAAGACCGAAGAAGAGTCAATACACCTGAGTTGTGGTGCTGACGAGGAATGTTGGAAGTCCCACGGACTGCCAAAAGAACAGGCAAATCTATCTCGGAAGGAGTATAGCGCACGCACGTGTGCATTAGCGGCACAGATGGAGACTTGGTCTCACGTACTTTGGGCATGCTGTCAGGAGAGGCCAGGCCCTCGAGGAGGACATCTCGCTCAGTAAAGTGGAGTGCCCGCGGGCAAAGAGGAAGGCCCTCCAGGAGGTGTGTTGACATGGTGGCCGTAACAATGGGCTCAAGCATAGGAACAGTCGTGAGAGATGATGTCTCATCACCCGTGTCCTCCCTCTGCCATCCGAGTGGAAGGGGTGGGGGGAGAAAGCCATCAGATTTCACCGAGTTCAGGTTTTGTGTCAAAAGTGTTGCTTTGCCAGTCATGGTTTGGTTTAGCCAGCCGTGCAGATTGAGCTCAGAGAGCCAGCGGGCTTGGAGATGGCAGACCACAGCAGGGAAGCAAGAGCCTCATGGGTTTCTGTGGCCTCCCAGTACATGCAAAGGTGCTGCTGGTGCCCCTGTGGTTCATGAGAGGAGTAAGCACTGGGCTGTTGATCTTCGGGTTGGTGGTTCGAACCCATCAGCCACTAGGAAGGAGGTAGATGAGGCTGCCTGCTCCTGTACTGATGCACAGCAGTTCTGCACCGTTGGGTGGTGCTGCGAGAGGCAGGGAGACACAAAGTGAACCCAGACCCTTGGAGAAATGGAGCCATAGACTGTGTGCCCCATAGTGTGGGGCAGACACAGACCTGAGAGTGGTCAAGACGCAGCATCTGCAGAGCAACTTAGACAGATAGATGCGGCCTGCCGGCCTGCTGTGTCAGCTCCCAGAGGGCAGCTCTCAGGGATGCTGGCGCCCCTGGAGTAAAACACCTGCTTTCTCCTGGTCCCTTGTGGCCACTCACCTTCCCAGAGTTTCTGCCAGAGGACGGACTCATTGGACCACCCAGGGTGGGGGCAAGAGTTTTGTTTTTAGTCAGAAGAAAACCCTGGTGGCGGAGTGGTTACCCGTTGGGCTGCTGGCGGCAAGGGACCACCCGCCCCTCTGAGGGACAAAGATGATGTTTTCTGCTCCTGAAAAGGTTTACAGCCCCAGAAACTCACGGACAGTTCTTCTCTGTCTGGTAGGGTCGCTGTGAGGTGGAATCGGCTCGATGGCAGGGAGGTTTTTATGGTTTTGTGTGGTTCCTGTTACTTGCATCTAACGAGCTCTTACTTGGTCCTTGTTTAGAGAAGAAAGACGTGACTCAGAGCCTGGAGAACTACACGTCCAAGTGTCCTGGGACCATGGAGCCCCTCACCCTGCCCGACGGCCTCACCCTGCCCCCCGTGCCCTTCACCAAACTGCCCATCGTCAGGTGAGCCCGG